TAGGAATCCTGGCAAATCTTTTACTAACTTGAAAAAAAATTACAATATGAGAAAAGAAGAAGAAAGGGTAATGCATAGGAAGGTATGTCCATGGACCTCAATGAGAGTGAAGAGCAATAAGCCTGACTAGCCAAGAATACAGCCCTAAAACAGTGAATAATATAGATCTAACAAATCCAGTACTTATGAATCCAGTGATGCTTCCAGTGGAGTGGAAAAACACACTACTATTGGGGGTCTGAACTGGCCTCAAGAAATATTTATTGTCTTCCTGGTCATTCCTTTGTTTGCTGGCTGCATGTGGCAAGACAGGCCATCGGTTAATTTACGACCAAGCTCTACTTATAATCCATAAACCACTCTGCTGTCTACTTAATCAATTCAATCTACATTTTTCTAACATCCTGCTGTGTACTGCATCAAGTTATTTATTAGTGGTGTAGTTCTTCAATACACATTTTCAAATAGAAGTATAAAGCAACCCTGATGGCAGACGTTAAAAATTCATATTTGCCAACAATTACTGTAAGACGTACAAGACACATCAGGTATTACCTTTCTAATCGTGTAAAAGCATCTTGCTATATAGCATTATATTGGAGCATTGACTTTCTTATGTTGTAAACAGCATTTGAACTGGTTTCTAACCACAACATAATTAATTCAGTTTATTACCGCTGAAGGCTTAAATGAGGCAACCTCAATACATAGATTTTTATTAAGCAAAATCTTGCAGATTAATGTGACCTATACATGCATTCCAAAGCTTAAAATCACAGTAACAGTTAATTGGACATGAAATTATATTCCATAGATGGGGAGAAGAATTTATTTCTGCTCTCTGTTATACCTGTAAAGGGCTTTTAAAAAACCCCACACATATATAATGTATCTAAAGTTCTTTCAAAACTACCTAATGCTGTTGTGACCACTGAAGATGCTAGGGAAAGAAACAGCTTTTTTTCATACATACAAGAATGAAATTAAAGAATGACATAAATAATTTTCAAGACATACTGGCAGTGTTTTTATATTCCAGGCCACCTATTTTATATTCTCTTATGCTTCATCTGTGTCATTAACCAATTTAATCATAATGAAATTTAATCATAAGAAAAAAGCTATTAGATTTGTCTCACTCCATTTTTTTCTTAACTGAGATTGTAACTGTGTACAGTGACATTTTCTCTAAGAATCATGTTCTGTTCTAGATCTGCTTTATTTTTATTTTAGTGCACATGAACTTAAATAACAAAATTAAGGCCTCAAACACAAATTTCTTGCTTTCTTTAAAGCTATCATACAAGCTGAGTAACACTCTATTCTTTTCTATATCTTCATAAGATTTAACCAGTGTTTAAATATATATCATGTACTTAATTTTTCCTTTTTTCCACTAGGCAAGAAGACTGGACACTCAGCTAACTTCATGTTAATTCTTGCAGTAACATCAAATATCAAAATGCAGGATCTGTGTGCATGTGCAGAAAAACTAAAATTACTACACTGCATGAATCTAAAATACATGCAAACTCCTGCTCAAATACAGAAACTAACAATATTATCTGACATGCAATATTTCCAACTGACTGTGTTAGCGATTATAGCAATATTATCTGTATTGTAGTATAACCTAGCAGTATTGTCAGAGGATTTTACAATGAAACCTAAAAGTAAAATTAAGTTAGTCATGAACAGTGAATAAAGCTTTCAAAACCATTTCAAGCTCTTTAACAGAAAGAAGGCTTTTCAAATTTTAGCAGATCTGTGGAAAACAAATATGTAAGATGTGTAGGAAATTATATTGGAAATGTATTGGGTATTAATTATATAAGGAAAAGCCAGTATTCCAACAATAGAAAAATGTTCACAAAGGGAAAAACAAAAGCAGTATTAGAAAGTTTTGACAAGATCAGCGAAAATCCAATGCTAAAAAGCATTGAAGAAGTATAGTTGTCCCTAAATTAGTGTCCCCAAATCTAGGATGTTTGAAAGTAAGCTTATATTTCAAGTAAATGTATTAAAATTGAAGCTTGAAATTCATACCAAGGACAGACAGACAAACACAACACTGATGTCATTCCCAAGACAAGTTTTTCATGATTTAACATGGACTTTTTGTTTCTTTTCCCTCTAACACAGCACTACTTCATGACACGCGCCAAGGTTGCTTAATAATTTAAGCAGTTTTTCCTCGCCTAGAAACAGTGAGTGTTCTTACACCTCCAGCATGAATTATAAATTCTGTGGCTTTATGATATATATAAAGTGCAATCATTAGGAAGCTGAAGAACTGGGGAAACCTAATTTTTCTGCTGGACTTGTAGAGAAGACCTCTGACAGACCCCACAGCAAACTTAATTTGTGAGTAGGAGTCTACTGACACTGGCAGTAATATCTAGTATATGCAGACATTACAGCAGAGAAAATGTTCATGACTGGGCTGGTAAAAGCAGTATAAATTGATGGAAATAACCCTGCAGTTAGAGAATTGAGATGTTTGCTTGTAGAAATAATTCTGCTGGTTTTAGGCTTTGGTATACCTACCACTGTCTTGAGCTGCAAACAGTCAGAGACCAGCAGAGTGCTCACCATTCCTGTGGTTGTTCTCACTGGGCAGGCCAGTATCACTGTCTCAAAAGTTGTGATGGCAGCACCACAGCTCAGGAAAAATCTGTGTTCAAGAGTAAACTAGTTAAGCTCAGTAGCAAAGGCTCAGTTGGGTACAACTAAAAGCACAGACCCAGCAGACTCAGGGAGAGGTGAAAGTGCACCCACCAAGATGAACTACTTGCACCACACCAAGCAGTCCTTTAAGACTGCCATGATCCTCACCTAGTCCTTTCCTCCCTTAAACTGGGATCTGACAAAACAACTCCTGCACTACCTTCTGTCTCCATCTCCTCAGTAATCTGTCCCAGATGGTCTCCTTACAGCCTTACGTGGATCACCCCACATGTAGCACCTTGGCCACCAGAGGAGAACACAGGTTTTGCCCTGGCCACTGCAGGTCTCCGGGCACACCATGTGCACTGAGAGAGGCCTCAGCAAGGCCTCCATGTAAAGCAGGGCCTCTTGCTTTAGGATCCCACTGAAGGATTTTCTTTCTATGACTAGTAGAAGCCTGCCTGTTATTTGGCTTAAAATCTGAGTACAGCAAATCATGTTCATCCTTTTAGGACTCATTTCCACAGTGCTGGCTCTCAAAATGTAAACAATTGGGCTGTCACAACACATTTTATCCCTCATCCTGACACCCAGGGCAACTCCCTAATTTTGTTTTGTTTTTACTGGAACGAGAGTTTCAAGTTCCATTTTAGTTACTTAAATATTTAAATACATTTGTATTTAATGACTGTTTTTCTTTTTATGAATTCCTATTTCCACAGTGAAGATCCACACAGTTCAGAACATTCAATCATTCCAACTGCATCCAATGACGTTACCTAACCCATCTTTTAGGAAGCAGCAATTATCATTGCCATGGAAAAATAGTCAGATTCAGTATTTCTAAATGCTTTATCTTTGACATATTGCATCCTCCATTATGAGATATCTCATTCGTGTTTATCCTGCTCACAGCTCAAGACTATTGACACTGTAGTGCTGCATCCCTTGCGCCCAAAAATACAGTACTAGAATGAGGTATTGCCCAGATACCCATCACTTGAATAAAATCCAAAGGTAAAAAATGGGCAGCAAGGAACAACGGGAGGCATTCCAGGCTCTCTTCCTGATGCACATGTACACTGACATGACTGGATCTAGTCCAGATTTTCCCAGTGTCTGTGTAGCTGTGTTTCCTCTGTGTGGTAGGCCAGACCAAGTCAGAAATTTACCAAACCCACCCACACATTAGCAGAAGTGACTGAAAATAACCCCTGAAACATTATTATTATTATTATTAGTAGTAGTAGTAGTAGTAGTAGTAGTAATAATAATAATAATAATAATAATAATAATAATAATAATAATAATAATAATGTGTCTACCTGTGTAATGATAGAAACAGGATGAGCTGAGAAGGTTCAGTTTTCCATGTAATTCAGCTGGACTTGGTCCCCACAGTGTGCAAAATCTTTACAGAGGTAGTTCCCTGACTGAAGTCCAGCCTCCTGCAATTTGTGGTTTGCAGCTGATTGCAAACTGTGAAGGTTTTGTCACGCTAAAACGTCTATAAAGACTTCTTCTATGTGATTTTTTCTTCCTCTAATACTGCTTGAATTCATTCTGCAGCCTTTCCTTCAGTCCAAGCAGTCTCTTTATTTTGGACACGCGTATTCCTGAAATAGATACTTAGCAAATTCACTTTTGAAATCTTAAAAACCTTCGCCATGTTTCACTAAAATCAGCCCCAGCGCGGTAAAATTCAGGTACAGGAGGTGAATACGGGAGTTTGGGTGGGCAGAAGCACACATCTATGCACAAAGTTGATTGCAAAGGTTTGCTTTCTTTGAAAACTTATTTCAGAAGGTTTTTTCAGTTTTTGAGTAATCCTGTTTAATGGGGAAACTCCTTGTGGTGGGTCTGGCCCTTATTTTGAACTTGGAAATGCCACCTTGATTGATGTCTCCTGACTAAATTTGGTGGCCAGAGCAGCAGTGAGCTGAAGTGTTTGCAGTGTCTCGTTTTGAATTTTTTTTTAGTTTTTGTTTCACTCTGCACCCCTCCAAAAAATAAATACATGGCACAACATGGTGGAGGTGGCTAATCATACCACACCAGAACACTTGACCGCTGGGGGATACCTCCCAGGTGCCTTCCGTCAGTGAGGGGCTTTTCTCCACGGGATGAGCGTGAGAGAAAACCAAACCCCAACACTCTTAGACAGCTGGAAAGGTTGGATTGCCCACTCGTTTTCTCCCCAGACCAGCTCGACAGCAGAGGGCTCTTACCGCTGGTGACGGGGCGATGCCGGCTGCGCGGGTGTGTGTTCAGGGGAGGAAATGGGTGGGACCCAGGGGGCAGCGGAGCCCCGAGGCCTCAGCAGCCGGGGAGGGCCCCGCGCTTCCGCCCCGCCGCCCTCGGGCCCGACAGGCCCCTGGGACGGGACAGAGCCCCTGGGACGGGACAGAGCCCTCGGGCCGGGACTTTGGTGGCCAGGACAGCGCAGGCAGCGGAGCCATGAGCCCGACAGGTCGGTGCGGGGCGGGTTGCGGGGGCCGGGGGGTCCCACACGGTGTCGTGTCCCGGTGCGGTGCTGGGGAGAGGAGACCCTGCCCTTGAAAGGAGCCCTCAAGTGCAAGCGGTGTCTGATGCATCTCTTACGGTCTCGCAGTGCCAGAGTAGCTTTGCTGAAGGAGAGGAGATGTAGCACCAAAAAGTTAGGAAATTAAAGAATAAAAGTTGTACGAGCAATGTTAATTCGGTCCTACATGTGTATCCTCTCTGGGATAGTCTTAATTGGCTAATCATATGTTGTGACATTAATTAAAAATTGATCATCCTCTTGCTGTCTCTCAGCTTTCCATATGGGATCCAGCCTGTAGTGCACAGCAAAGCTGTGCTAGATTTTGCACAGGAATATTAGCTATTTGTTTATGCTTTTATTGGTGTTTATTGCAATATCTGGGTGCCTCAAAACTGTTTAGTGTGTATTCTGCTGCTCCCTTGGTAGTGCTGGAACACATTATACCATTGACTGGTGGAAAAATTTGATGAAAAGTTAAAATTACTTATGAAGGCCTCATGTAAATCAGAGGCAGCCCTTAATCTGAACCAGAATCCTGTGACTCCATGTCCCTGTGCACATTCTTCCCAGTCGTGTTCCCTTATTCACAGAAATACTGTCTATTTACTGCTCCCATTTTCTTCATGTGTCATTGCAAGGCTCAGCAACACTTAAATCAAGCCAGTGACTGCCAAGCTGGGCACTCAGTTAAAAGGAAATGAAGACATGTAGCCAGATACCAGAGGTTTGACTGACTTGCTTGTGGGGAGCTCAGCTTTATCTTTGATTCTTTTATTAGGTGGGACAATATTTTATCCTCATTTTCTGAATGAGGAATCAAGAAGAGAAGTCTGAGGGCCTAAGCCTGCAAAAGTGACTCAGTGCTTTGTTTTTCTGTTCTGATTCATCATTTTAAATGACTGCTTTGGGTGTCAAGACAGGCTTTTTACCAAGTATTTTATATTTTGTATCATTTTATAACAGAGTAACCACATTAGCTATTAGTTATCAAGTGCAGCTTTGTAATGACATGAGCCTTGCAAGCCATCTTTACCTATTCTCATTATATAGATAAAAACATCAGGGAAGAAAGGCAAAGTGACTTTTCCAGCTGTTTTATAATAAATTAGGTGGAGATAAAACATCAAAACTCAGAACTGCTTTGCTTTCTACCTAGGGCTGGTGGTGAAATGGGTGTGGTTATTTTACTGGTTGTTTTCTATCTAGACCAAACTTTCAGTATTGCAAGCTTCTTTAAAGAAGAAAGTGGCATATATGAGCAAAACTACATTTAATAGCATTTCCAAATATGCATATGCTATACCAATTATTAGGCAAACTGGTATTTGTGGATGTGAACAGTCGGCAGGGCACTACTCTTGTAATCACAGAAGTACACTCAGTGATCATTCTGTATCAATGATAGGATACAACTGACCTGGAGGCATATAGTTTAGAGTCTGGATCTTGGTGAATAAAGGCAGTCAAATCCTGAGTATGCATGTGAAATAGCTAGAGTAATTGCTGAGCAAACATGTAAGAACAGCAAAGAGGGATGGCTGCTTTCCCAGCTGCTCCCAGCCGGTTCCACACATTGGCAGGCGAACAAGTAACAGTAGGCTCAGCCAGCAGAGGATGCAATGGCCTTCTACTCTGGCACTGTTTGTCTCTGTCATTTTCACACATATTGCTCTGCCTAAGCCTCATCCACCTGTGACCTCCACACACAAGCCTCTCCCTTGCAGGTTTGTCACAGCATTTCTTTTATAAAAAGAGGTCTGATATGTATAGAGGTGCATAGAGGACTGTTTTCTCCTGATGGAACAACATCTGTGAGGTACTGAGGTTGCCTCAGGAGGATTACCCAAGGCCTAGTCTAGCTCAAATCTGAAAGCTGTTTGGGCTGCTTGGTGGGAGAGACAGGCTTGTTACTTGCCAGGACTCTGTAGAAGACCCTAACCTAGATGAACTTTTCACAAATTCCAATAAAGCTGCTGTAGCTAGTAGAGATAAAACATCTGTAATGCCTGATCTTTGATGGCATCTGCCTTCATTTGAGACAGGAGACACTGTCAGGATAACTTCATTGCTATGCCCTGTTGGTGTCATCACTCCTCTCCACACTCGGGAATGTAATTATCTTCCTTGAGATCTTTCCTTGTGTGCCCTTTGTTTACACAGTGTACATTTCTGTGTCTTCAACTGTTTCTGGATCAATGTTTACGTAAGTGGTGTTCAGGGAGGGAATCTAGGTAGTGAATGGACTCAAGTAATATTTCATTTTTGTTTTTCTCAAAAATTAGGGAGTGCTTAATTTTTAGTAGTCAATAATTTTTTAGCTCCTTCACTTGAGGGAAAGAAGAGTTCTCAGACAATGATTTGAGTCAAAATCCAAGAGGTCTAGTGGTGTTTTGAAGCAGATTCAATAATAACATCATAATACAAATATTAATATTCATATTCAATATTAATAATTGAGTAATATTAATATTATTAATAATGTATTAGTAATTTGAGTATCAAAGAAGCCAGAACTGAAGTACCTCAAAGCTATCATTTGCCTTAGAAGTGTTGGGATGCTCATTCAGATTCAAAAGTTGATCCTAACAAGCTTTGTTCCTTATGTTGATCCTCTCCCATCTCCCTTCTCTTGCAAGCAACAGCTACTCAAGTTTGCATAGAAGCAATTGACCACCCACATTTGAAAAATTTTATCACTGGTATAGTGAAAAAGGTGAAAGCAAGCAGCAATCTCAGTTTCCTAAAAGAAGAACATTTGTGCCCAGGGACACAAGACCCACAGTGTGATTCTTTCCCTGTCTGTATATCTCTTGAAGCTGGTCTTTCAGGATTTGATTAGTTTATATACTCCTTTATTTGCTTGTAGGTAATAAAGAATGTTTTATTTCCTCTAACAAGCTTAAGTGACCCAATGCATTCAGCAGCAATAGATTGTGATATAATTATATACCCAAGGGAGGTCCAGTCATTTCTGACTATCGTTAAAAAAATAAAGTTGTCCTGACCTTTTTAATAAATCAAAATCTGACTACTGCAATGTGAACTGTGATTTTAAAAAATCCTGTTTTATTAAATGTGAACAAAAGTAATAATTTCAGAATGGTATTGAAAATATGTTTTTGAAACCACTGTGAAGATAGGGAGTCATGAATACCAAGATTTAACTTTTAAACTGGAATCTATTTCATGTAATGATATTGATGTTCATTTAGTGTTTATTGGCTCCCTGCATTGTAAAAAAGCAAGGCTTTGTATGAATCCAAAGTGTATAATTTATGCTATCACAGGCCTGACAGTTAAAGCAAATTGGTCTTACCATCCCAATCATTACTTTGTTTTTCAATGTTTCTGTGAGCTTTAGTGTACAGTTAGATAAGAAGCATTTTACACATGTTGACATTGAGACAGTTCAAGCAGAGGTACAGATGAGTTTGGAAAGCACCTATTTGCATTCAGATCACATGCTTAACAGATGGAAAGGACTTGAAACTTTACACAGGTGTTTATAAATAGCCGCAGTCTGTGGCTAAGGTTCACTGCTGTTGCTTCTGTGTAAGAAGTAGAGAATTCATGTAAGACCATGAAGCTGAAATGCAATGTCCAGTTTCGTAGTTTTTTCTCTGTACCTATTGTAAACTTACTTCAAGTGAGTTGCTTAATCTTGCAGGTTTTCATAGCTGAAAAAATGTATGGCTGTGTCTGGTCTTTCTGCTGGAGTGTACCACAGCTTCTGTCCAGCCCTGCATCCTTGGGTTTCCTTTCTGAGGAAACCAACATCAGAAGAAAGGCTTTCCTGGTTGTCAGAGTTTTGCCCCGACACCAAGTTAAAGTGCAACTGAATAGGGCAGCAAGGTCTAAGAGCAAACACCTGGTCCTAGATCCCTTACTGTAGACATGCATGAAAGAGTTTCCTTACAAAAAATAATGTCAGACTAAAAGATAAGCAACCCCCTGTCCCCAAACCTGATTGAGATCCTGTCACATTCAGTTCATACCTAAATGTGCTTTATCCTCTACATTTCTCAGCATTGGGGGCATGCATGTGTTGTGTCTCTCAAACAAAGCAAGGTATTTTCCTGTCAAAATATAATGAAGTAATGGTATTTTCACTCACTATTTATTGTTATACTCGCTTCCAATTAAAAATAAAAAACCAAAACCCAACCCCAAAATGAAATATTAATTTTTTTGAGTTGTTTAGTTGTCTCTACTAAAAAGAGCGAGCGTTAAGTCATGAAGAATAAATATTTCAAGTTTGTTTACTCTAGTCAGTAAAAAGTGGCGTTTGTCTCTCTGTTTGTTTTTAATATCAGATTAGAGGTACAATTGAAATAGAATTATTTGATTTTTAAAAATTATTTATTTATTTTCTAGTGGAAAATATAAAAAATTCTAGAAGCTTTGGGAAAATGGAACAATGAATAGAATGACATCTATGAATTAAACTTTTAAGAAATAAGGTAATATATGCTAAATATATTTTCATATAGTGTACCCTTCTGTTTTTCATAATTTTAATTTATTTGTGAAATATTTACGGTTTAAATAGCTGAAAGGAAAAAATTATGGTATGCCTGGAATGAATTGAACACGGACAATTTTTAGTCATTTGGAGACTGAAAATAAAAGCCTTCATGCTAAGCAGTGCTGTGTTCTCTGTAAAAATGAAAGGCTAAATACAGTACAGGCTTCAAAGCAGTTTAATGCTAATATCTAGTGAGCACTAAATGAAAACAAGCAGTGCTTTAATCAGAAGCCACAAGTGTCATGTTCCTCTGATTTATTAAAATTTGTGATTGAAAAGACTTGGACACCTCCTTTTTGTTAAATTATTATATGCATGGTCAGAAATAAATTTATTTAATTAACAGAACTGTATTAACAGCAGGAAAAACAGGTATCTTCTGAGTTTGATTAGGTTCCCTTTAAAAATATTAAATATTGTT